CCTCTCTTGCTCTCTGATCACCACCTTATTAGTTTCACCCTCTCCATGTCTCCCACCTTTTCTCCCTCCAACCACATAATGGTTACCTGTAGAAGCCTTTGCCACCTTAAGCCTTCTCTACACTGCTTTGCTACTGACCACCTCTATGACAAAATATCATCCCTGTCCTGCCCAGATCTAGCCACTTCTGTCTACAACAGTTAACTGTCATCCTCCCTAGACAAACTCGCCCCCTCACTACATACACAGTCAGGCCCCGACCCCTACAACCTTAGCAAACAGATGACACCAGATGTCTCAAAAAACATAGCCGCACTCTTGAGCATCTGTGGCATAAGACTAAGTCTCAATATAATATCTGCCCTCCAGAAATACTGTTCCTGTCTCCACATTGCCAAGCAGACCTGTTTCATTACTTTCATTACCACCTTCTCATTCAGTCCCCATCAACTCTTCTCTACCTTCAACTCTCTTCTCCATCCTCCACTTCCTCCACCAACTAACTCACTTACTGCCCAGGAGATTGCCAATCACTTCAAAAAGAAAATTGATACAATTCGTGAGGAGCTCTCCGATGCACAGAAAGCTCCCCTACTTAACACACCCACATCCACAGGGCCAATCACTACTTACTGCATTCAACCCCACTACTATAGACAAGGTTGCTAAACTTTTTTCTAACGCCCATCTAACCACGTGCCCCCTGGACACTGTTCCGTCGCAAATGCTATGGTCACCCTCTGGCTCTTATCCTACACTCTCTAACTCACATCTTCTATCTCTTCTTCACTTCCAGCATCTTCCACAATTCTCTAAAACATGCATTAGTCACCCCTATACTTAAAAAGCCCTCACTAGACCCCACCAATCTTACCAACCTATGACTCCCCTTTTCCTCCAAACTCCTCAAACGCCTGGTCTACAACCAGCTGAGCAACCACCTCACTGAGTATAACCTTCTTGATCCCTTTCTGTCTGGGTTTTCGCTCTCAGCACTCCATGGAAACTGCTCTCTTCAAACTTACAAACGATCTACTAACGGCTAAAACCAATGGACACTATCTCTGCTGCCTTTGACACAGTGGACCACTCCCTCCTCCTCAAAAAACTCTACTTCTTTGCTCTCTGTGACTGTTTGGTTCTCATCTTACCTATCCCATCACACCTTCAGTGTCACTTACAATATTACTTCCTCTTCTCCTCTTCCTTTCCTTCATTGGGGTTCCCCAAGATTCTGTTCTTGAACCCCTCCTATTCTCAAGCTACACCTCCTCTCTGGGTCAATTGATTGCCGCCAATAGCTTTCATAACCATTTTTATGCTGATGACACCCCACATTTATCTCTCTGCCCCTCAGCTCACTCCATCAGTCTCCCTCACACATCACTAATCTACTAACAGACATATCAGCCTAGATGTCACACCACTTCTTGAAAATTAAACTATCCAAAACTGAGATTTTCTCCCCTATGTGCCCCTTCCACTGACTTCTCTGTCAAAACCAATGGCTCAACCATCAACCCATCCCCACATGCCAGGGTAATAGGTGTAATCCTGGACTCTGATCTATCCTTTCGGCCCCACATCTAATCACTGTCCAAAGCTTATCACCTCAATCTCCGCAACATCTCCAAGATACAACTCTTCCTAACCAATGACACCAAAAAGCTTCTAACTCACTCCCTGGTCATCTCCTGTCTTGACTGCTGCAAATCCTCCTCACTGGCTTACCTTTGCATAGGCTATCCCCCCTCCAGTCCATCATGAATGATGCTGCCAGACTCATCCACCTTACCAACCATTCAGTGTCTGCCACCCCTCTTTGCCATCCCTTCACTGGCTCTCCCTCCCCCCAACGTATAAAATTCAGGATATCTACAACAACTTATAAAGCCATCCACAACTCAGTCCTTAGTTACATCACTAACCTAGTCTCAAAATACCAATCAAATCGTTCACTTCGATCCTCCCAAGACCTCCTGCTCTCTAACTCCCTTGTCACCTACTCCCATGCTCGTCTCCAGGACTTCTCCAGAGCTGCTCCGATCCTCTGGAACTCCCTTCCCCAATATGTACGACTATTTCCATCTCTGTCCACTTTTTGATGATCCCTGAAAACTCATCTCTTCAGAGAGGCCTATTCTGCCCCCACCTAACAACTGTATTTTGTCCATCGGCCCATCCCCCACAGTTATTACATTTTGTATCTCTCGACCCTCCCTCGTAGATTGTAAGCTCTTACGAGTAGGACCCTCTGAATCCTCCTGTATTAATTTGTATTATGATTGTACTGACTACCTTTATGTTGTAAAGCACTGCGTAAACTGTTGGTGCTATATATATCCTGTATAATAATAATAATATGTTTTATTAAAATAAATAAAAAGGAAGGTAGGCAATTTAATGGTTAACAAAGGTTCACAATAAAACAAGGTGATTCAGCATAAAAACCAATACAGTACAAATATACTTATTGGCATGGCCACTTGTCCTGTAGGACTGAGAAGATAAACCTTAACCCTCTGACTGAGAAATGACTCCCCAAAAGACAAGCAAGAGATTCAGGCTAGCTCACTTATAGGCCCTCAGTCAGGAGAGTTCAGGCTTATGCTTTAGGAAATGTGTCAAATCTCCTGCACACCAGTATTTCTAAGAAACGTACCTAAGAAAGTCCCTGAGTACAAATAATCTGCAAGGTGGATTCTTCTCTTGGCTTAGTTGGGGCCCTTACGTTGGCACGCAGGGAAAATTGCAGTCCCCTTAAGATATGGAGAAATAGAATAATTACTTTTAAAAGGCAAAGTAGTTAGCAGAGTACTCTTCATAGGTGAAGTTGGTGAGAAAGGTCACTTTAAGATACTGAATTGTAAGCAAGAGTCACTTAATTGGTTTGATTACAAGTAATGATCACTGTAAAATAAGGGGGGGTTAACAAGCATGTGTCCCTTTGAAGAGTAAAGTTGAAGTTAAGCAGAAAGATTCTTTCCTTAGATAGATCACTTGAGATTAGATGGATTGAATTACATGATTAGGGTTCTGCCTTGCAGGGGCTCAAGGGTTAACTCAGTTCAGTATTCTGTAGGCAGTGACCGTGATAACAATATAAGGATGGCAGTCTGCTTTAGCGAGGGGCACTGGCGCAGCAGCAGCCTATGCTGAAAAGTGTCTGAAACTTGAAGAACATGAATGGCAGTAATTGTTTGTAATTGCAAATATTGATAAATGGTTTAGAACCCTCTCATCCAGTCCTGTTGTCAATGATAGGTGTAGTGGTAATCGTCCGATGATGGGGGCCCCTCTTTTCTATTGAAGAGGCAGTTGTGCTGGCGGCAGCTCTCACTTTTCTGCAGTGAACAGATCTCCACAAGTATGCTTCTTCCTCTTGGATGCTCAGCTGAACAGTGTTCTCTGTGGCTTCTTGGCCTAACCCAGTCCAGTCCAGGCAGGGCCGGTGCTAGTCTATTTTGCACCCTAGGCAAGACCACCTGTGGGTGCCCCCCAAAATAAACAAATAAATAAATACATTTGAAAACAGTAGAAAATATTATATCAACAAAACATGAAACTGAAAAAATAAGTGCCATAAGATGCCACCATTATTAAAGGCAAAATCAGTGTCATGGATGGACTATATCTGTGGCTGGCAGTGGCATGGTTACAGTTGCAGTGAGGATGATGGATCCACACTGACAGATCCCAGGCTGGAATTCGACAGGCAATGGGGGAGATAAATCGCTGTGACAGCAAACAACTGATCTGAGCGATCCCACACAGTGACAGATCTGACACAACACAACATCACCAACACTGACACACACCAGCAGGCCCAGCAGGCACTAGAAGAGCAGGCTGTGGGATTGTGATGATGTCATCACTCTCTGACACATTGCACATGTGATGGATGACTGACCGTATCACACTCACACAGACAAGAGACATAGGAGTCAGACATTACCTTCCTTCGCAGGCACAGCTTCGCCTCCACTGATGAATGGGAAGAGAAGGGCTGGAACTCCACAGTGATCATCATTAGCCATCAGCCGGCTTGCAGTAGGAAACTGAGTCTGATAAGAACACTGGAAGGAGCGGTAGCTCAGCTGCTATCCTGGCCCCAGACACCGGGCATCTTCTTCTGTTCTTTCTTTCTCCCTTCTGGCATTCCTCCTAGCTGAAGGATCATTCATGACATGGCGGCATGCCACAGAGAGAGAGTGCAGGCCTGTGCTGTGCTCAGGCACCCCTAGGTGGCAGTGCACCCTAGGCAGTTTCCTAGTTTGCCTAGTGGAGGCACCAGCTCTGGGTCCAGGCCCACATGCTTTGACACAAATCTCAACACACACACACTACTTACACAGCAAAGTCTCTGTCCCACCTCCCATTGTCTTCCTGGGCTTTTACTTTTATATCCTCCCACCCCCCCCCCTTTTGAGTGTCCCTGGACAATGTAGTTCAATCCCAGCTTCACTGTGTAGAAAGTTCTGCTTTCAGCATACAAGTTCCAGCAGTCTCAGCTCACCTGTATTGGGACTGTGATGAGCAAAGGAGAGCAAGAAAGATGGATCCTTCAGAGTCAGCCAGTTAAAAAGGCCTGTGCACAGCTGAATCAAATGATAATGAGGGGTTTGGCTACCAGGTAAGAAGTTGACCAGTGAGTGAAGGCTTTATTATCTATTGAAGGTATTTATATAGCGCCGTCAATTTACGTATAGCTTTACATATGTATTGTACATTCATATCAGTCCCTAACCCCGGACCCTGCATTCACTATATCTGGTCTCCCACAGTCCACACAACATGAAAGTGCAATTATTTTAGTAAATATTTTAGTAAATATAAACTGCTAAATACTTTTTCTCACCAGCAGTTAGAGCAGTCTTGTGATTTCTATCAGTGTTCAGCAGAGAACTGGTTACAGCTTGTAGGAGGAGTTTTTCTCCAGGAAGATGCAGAACCCCTGACCTCTTTCTGGGCAGTGCTGATTGGCCATGTGCTGATCACATGCACTCTCCCAAGGAAAAAAAAACCTCTCTAGCAATACACACCAAATTGAGCTTGTGTCTACACATGATATGTCTTATCAGTAGATAAGAGGGGAGCATTGGAAGAAGGGGAGGATCAGAGAAGACTGGATCAAACATTCTGTTTACACAATGCAGAGGATTAACCCCTTAGGTTCTACAGTGAGTATAACAAGCATGCTTTACTGCATATACATGCTTTTACTGTTGTGGGTTTAGTAACATTTTAAAGAGTGTACAATCTAAGGTCCCTAACTCACATTCATACATACACATAGGGGGTTATTTACTAAAGCTGGAGAGTGCAAAATCTGGCTCACTGCTGCATAGAAACCAATCAGCTGCCAGGTCTTATTGTCAAAGCTTAATTGAACAAGCTGAAGTTAGAAGCTGATTGGCTCCCATGCACAACTGCAACAATTTTTGCACTCTCCAGTTTTAGTAAATAAACCCAATGCTAGGGCTAATTTAGACAGGAGCCAATTGACCTCACAGTACATCTTTGGAGTGTGGGAGGAAACCCCACACAGGCACAGGGAGAAGAAGCAAACTCTGTGCAGGTAGTGCTGTGGCTGGGATGCAAACCAACAACCCCAGTGCTTCCAGGCGGAAGTGCTAACCACTTACCCACTGTGCTGCCTCTATTTCAAATCTATAGTACATGTATAAACACACACACATACATACATACCACCCATGTATAGATACACACACATACATACATACATACCGCCCATGTATATATACACACACATACATACATACCGCCCATGTATAGACACACAAACATACATACCGCCCATGTATAGATAGACACACAAACATACATACCGCCCATATATAGATACACACGCATACATACATACCGCCCATGTATATATAGACACGCATACATACATACCGCCCATGTATATATACACACACACATACATACATACATACCGCCCATGTACTGTATATATACACACACACATACATACCGTCCATGTATAGATACACACACATACATACATACATACCGCCCATGTATATATACACACACATACATACATACATACCACCCATGTATAGATACCCACACATACATACATACATACCGCCCATGTATATATACACACACATACATACATACATACCACCCATGTATAGATACCCACACATACATACATACATACCGCCCCCATGTATATATACACACACATACATACCCGCCCATGTATAGATACCCACACATACATACATACCGCCCATGTATAGATACACACACATACATACATACATACCGCCCATGTATAGATACACACACATACATACATACCGCCCATGTATATATACACACACATACATACATACACATACATACCGCCCATGTATATATACACACACATACATACATACATACCGCCCATGTATAGATACCCACGCATACATACATACCGCCCATGTATAGATACCCACGCATACATACATACCGCCCATGTATAGATACACACGCATACATACATATCGCCAATGTATAGATACCCACGCATACATACATACCTCCCATGTATAGATATAGACACGCATACATACATACCGCCCATGTATAGATACACACGCATACATACATACCGCCCATGTATAGATACACACGCATACATACATATCGCCCATGTATAGATACCCACGCATACATACATACCTCCCATGTATAGATAGACACGCATACATACATACCGCCCATGTATAGATACACACACATACATACATACCGCCCATGTATAGATACCCACACATACATACATACCGCCCATGTATATATACACACACATACATACATACATACCGCCCATGTATATATACACACACATACATACATACATACCGCCCATGTATATATACACACACACACATACATACATACATACCGCCCATGTATAGATACACACGCATACATACATACCGCCCATGTATAGATACCCAGATACCCACGCATACATACATACCGCCCATGTATAGATACACACGCATACATACATACCGCCCCCATGTATAGATAGACACGCATACATACATACCGCCCATGTATAGATACACACACATACATACATACCGCCCATGTATAGATACCCACACATACATACATACCGCCCATGTATATATACACACACATACATACATACATACATACCGCCCATGTATAGATACACACGCATACATACATACCGCCCATGTATAGATACCCACGCATACATACATACCGCCCATGTATAGATAGACACGCATACATACATACCGCCCATGTATAGATACACACACATACATACATACCGCCCATGTATAGATACCCACACATACAAACATACCGCCCATGTATATATACACACACATACATACATACATACATACCGCTCATGTATAGATACCCACACATACATACATACCGCCCATGTATCGATACCCACACATACATACATACCTCCCATGTATAGATACACACACATACATACATACCGCCCATGTATAGGTACCCACACATACATACATACCGCCCATGTATAGATACCCACACATACATACATACCGCCCATGTATAGATACCCACACATACATACATACCTCCCATGTATAGATACACACACATACATACATACCGCCCATGTATAGATAGACACACACAACATACATACCTCCCATGTATAGATACACACACACATACATACATACCGCCCATGTATAGATACACACACATACATACATACCGCCCATGTATAGATACACACACACACATACATACATACCGCCCATGTACAGGTACCACACATACATACATACCCCCCATGTACAGATACCCACACATACATACATACCGCCCATGTACAGATACACACACATACATACATACCGCCCATGTACAGATACACACACATACATACATACCGCCCATGTATAGATACACACACATACATACATACCGCCTATGTATAGATAGACACACATACATACCGCCCATGTATAGATAGACACACATACATACATACCTCCCATGTATAGATACCCACACATACATACATACCGCCCATGTATAGATATACACACACAGTCCGACAGTCACTGAGCTCCCGGCAGCACAGACAGTGGTGTCTGTCAAAATGAATTTTGCATATCCATTGAAAATGTTCCATTTAAAATATGTATGAGTCTCTGTGGTATGTCGTTCTATAAAAAGACACCAAGAATAAGATTTTATAAGCTCATAATGTCACTGCTCTTTAATTTTTATAGACTGGTGTGGAGTCATAATACAGTGCATGTCTCTGCAAATAAGTCATTATCTTTTCCTAAGTAGCAAAGGAACTTTCACTTTCCAACGTGTGATGATGGAGATTATTCGGCTTCTGTACTCCTCTCCCACTCTCTGTACTCCACACTCCGAGACAAAGGAAAGGAAAATGTTATTGTTGTTCGTTTAAAAAGGAGGATTATCCAGTCATACAGGTTAACTATAGAGATAATATAGCATTTGGACCACGCATAAATCGTTCAAACAATATAAACTTATGAACAAACCATAAATAATGAGTAATAAACAGTAAACATCTATAAACTGGTTTTGATAAACAGTCCCAGTATGTGAAAACGTAAAGGGCACAAACACTTAATGGTTTCACATAGTGGAACTGTTTATCAAAACCAGTTTATAGATGTTTACTGCTTATTACTCATTATTTATGGTTTGTTCATAAGTTTATATTGTTTGCACAATTTTATGCGTGGTCCAAATGCTATATTATTCCAATTTGTGTTTATGAGTTCACAATTAGCACTGCTGCATCACACAGGTTCATACTATTTTATTTCATAAGCGTAGCAGCAATTTTTCCACTTTTAACTATAGAGACAAGATGTATAGTTCTTTCAGAATGAAGAAATACACAGGAAGATGTGTGTGAAAAAGTATTAAAAGTGTGAAAAGAGTTTCTTTTTTTCTTGGGAGAGTGCATGTGATCAGCACAGGGCCAATCAGCACTGTCCAGACAGAGGTCAGGGCTTCTACATCCTCCTAGAGAAAACTCCTCCTACAAGCTTTAACCAGTGCTCTGCTGAACACGGATAGAAGTCACAAGATTGCTCTAACTGCAGATGAAAAAAGGTATTTAGCAGTTCATATTTATTAAAATAATTGCATTTCATGTTCTGTGTACTGTGAGAGACCAGATATAATGAATACAAGGTCCTGGGTTTAGTAGCACTTTAATCAAATATTGGTGAATTGTATAGTGTATCCTTTACCTTGGTGTTGGCTGCTTTAACTGTTTAGTTCTATTTTTGGTGCAGCAGATTACATTTTCTTATCATTTTACAGTTGTCATTGGGGGCAAAAGAAGTTTTTTGAATTGGAGCATCTGTGCTGGGGAGAGAACTGTGTAAGAGGAAATTTCCTCTCACTGTTGAGAGCTTTCTAATTGTTTCCTGTTGTGCATGAAGTGAAGAAAAATCTCCCCAACAGGGCACATAAAAACACTAAAACTGGACATACATTAGTAGATTTTGTAATACGTAAACGTTCATATGAAAATTCTCAATACATTTAATGACTTAAACATTTGTTTTTAACATTTGATTTTGGAATGAAGGTTATTTCTTGAATGAAAACCACATTCACTATTAGAAATTTCTATTCCGCTCCTTCAAATGTTCTCATCATGATGGTTGAAAACGAACTTCGATTTGACCCCAATAAAAGATTAGAAAATTGAACAAACATTCTTAAAATGAAAACTTTCAAAAGAAATCCTACTAGTTTATGGACAGCTTAAAAGGAAGAAGGAAAAACAATCAAATGTTGGGTGTTCATGAATTCTATTTTATCATAAAATGTCAAGCATTTCAGGGGATTCTAATGATTCTAATGCCCCCCCCCCCCAGGACTTAAATGTTCAGGTATGAGTTTGGGTGGCCTTAAGCTTGAACAGGTTAACAATTTTAAGCATTAAAGAGTATCTACAGACAAATTTTTTTTTTCAGTTTTTATTGCAGTGTGTGTCCCCAGTAGAGAGAATCACACTCTCTATTTGCCCTGCTTACCATTCATTATTATCAAAAGTGAAAGTAAAAGAAAAACCCAAACTTTGGGTTGTCCCTAGAACAATAATAGAGGGGAAATCTTCCAATCGGGGTACTAGTTCTGGTGACCCTGGTGGCCCCCCTGGGATTCTTGCACTTTGGAGGAATTTCTTCCCAC